CTCTCAGAGCTCATCTGTTCAAGATGAAACTTGCAGAACAAGAAGACTGCAGACTGTGCGGAGGCGATAAGGAGGGCGTCATCCACATTTTATGTGAATGCCCCCTATTAGCACTCCGTCGCTATAAAATCTGGGGCCAGGCTTTCCTGAAACCAGAGGACTTACAACAAGCGGCTGTCACCAGCCTTATTAGCCTAGTGAGAAACACAGGGCTGGGGCTGTGTGACTGACCGAAACTAAGGCGGAAGTTACAAAAGATCGTATGATTTAGGTGACTCTGGGCACTTTAAGTGACCAGCCGCACTTTTTCTATTCTATTCTATTCTAACACTCAGTATAATAAGACGATGATGAATCATTCATTTTTGAAAGAAACAATGAAAAAAATATAAAAAAATATGTAAGGAAAGGGCATCAGCATCGCGGGCCATGGCGGCGCTAGCGTATATGAAAAAGGAGCCTTCCAGTTTGACTAAGGTAACAATGCAAAGCCAAAACGGTTAAGAGTCTTAACTTAAGACCAGGAAGATTAAGATTTTAGGAAATTCGTGACGATGTTTCAACTTTACAAATTCCACTTCAAATAGAATGGATAGGGGATGAATTATAGGAACCTTCAGGAAGTTTACAAGTTCCCTCAAAAATCAGAAAATTGTCGGTTTTTTCCAAATGTAAAATGATTTGAGCTTCCAGAGAATTTAAAACAATTATGAGATTTTCTGAACAAAATCAAAAAAATCCACGAGTTTTTCGAAAATTAGAACAAATTTTCAGTATCTCTCAAATATTAGAGTTTTTGAATAAACCATGGGAGAACAATTGATAGGAAAAGGCGGAATCTATCAAATGAAACTGATGTGGAGTCACGTGACCCCAACTACTGTACTCTGATTGATTTAAACAGGAAAGAACAACATAATTTGAAAAATCTGAGAACATGATTTCACCAAAATATCCACCTTTTCTAAGCAAAATTCATAAGAATTTCGGGATTCCATAGAGAATTTGAAAAAATTTCAGATGATTCATCAAAGTTTCAAGTTCATAGCATCGTTGAATAAACTTGTGTAAGATTGTGAATGAGAAGAAAATACTCCGAATTAGCGAAGGAGCATCAGAATCGGTCATATTATTATTCCAGCAAAAATAATTGAATGCTTTTGGAATGGTGTAAAAGAGAATGAAAGGGGTGGCGAACACAAAAGAATTCTGGGTTGTGAGAGCTTTAAGAATTATTATTATTATTATTTTTATATTAGCTTTAAGAATTATTGTTTCGCGCTCTGAATAGTATTTTGATTATAATTATAGTTAGAACATCATTCAGTGAGCACAGAAATTCAGAATTAGTGAATCACTTACTGAAATATTGAAATTAAACAGGTGATGAACCGATAAACATTGTATCCATTAATCTTAATACTCAGTTTACTGAGCCGATGATGAATCATTAATTTTTGGAAGAAACACAAGGAAAAAATGAGAAACAGAATAACGAAAGGACATTAACGTCGCGGCCGTGGCGGCGCTAGTGAAAGAATAATTCACACCGCCCATGAATGAATTATTCATGACTAAATCGATTTCCTATCGATTTTTTTTTTTATACAAAATAAACACGAGGTTAATGTCACACATTCACATATGAACTGCAGGTAGTTCAAATAAAACAAAATCTAAATCGATACAAATGAATGACTTGAAATTGTCGCAATTATGGAAATTGTATTTAAGGATAATCGGGCGAGCCCGGAGGGTTAGAAAAAAAGCAGCCATTTTTCTCTTTTATTTTTTACGTATTCTTTAAATGATGGAAAAGGTGCAAAGTTTCAGACTACTAGGGAACATGGTTAATTTATTATGAATTTTTGAAAAAGTGGTCATTTAACCCGTAATCTTATGGGAATCACAAAAAAAACTGCAAAACCTAAGGAAAAAATGCAGCCAAAGTCATGAAAATTTAGACACATTTAGAACATGTGATCAATGATTTTTTGAGTGAAAAATATTGTCACCTAGGAACATTGTTTATTAATAATAGCGAAAAAAGTACTGAAAAATGAAATTTCTGCACACGCAGCCCAAACGAGCAGCAAACGTCTCAAGTACCGATCGGGTGGGGGTAGCGCGGTCAATTTAAACGTCTCTTGAGAGAGAGCGATAAAGCGTTGTGATTGGAGCTCCCTCGAGCCAGTGGTACCAGCTCCTGGTGAAAAAAAAAACTACCAACGATGTTGCCAATTTTTCGCATGGATTAATATTTTTTCATTTCTATTTAAAAAAAACAATCTGAAAACCATTCAATGCGTGGAACAGACACAAATAAATTTGATTAGCTCCAAAAATAATTTTTAACCGGAGATACTCCCTAATATTGCCTGAATTTTGAATCCGAATGGGAAAAATTTTTTTGTTCAGCGATTGGTTTTCTGCAGGCATAGTCCAGTCAAATTAGATTTTTAACATCGAAATTAACCAAAGGGCACCAAATTACACCAATCGATAGCTAAAAGTGTAACTATTAATGTTTTAAAAAGTATATGCTCAAATTTGCCGTGGTGATTCACAATTGGTTATAAACAATTGGGAATTGCCGACAGGCCGTCTTCAATCCTAGATATCTTTAGTTAACCTCATCAGATGGGAAAAAAAAATATTTCTTTGCAGCTGAGAAAATGTCCTATCGGGGGGAGTTAGGAACTGATAGCCCAAAATGTACCGTTAATTTATTATAAATTATAATAGCAATTTCGGAGCAGTCGGCCCAACGCGTCAGCTGTTACCCTCCCTGCGACAGTGCCATGAGTCATGTGATTGGCGCCATGCGCAACTTATTCAAACCTCCTGCTGCGCTCAACGCAATAGCCCTCAGTTGGATTTTTGATGAATATCTCTGAATCTGTGGCTAGTAGTCAAATTTTCATTATAAACTTGTTTGAAACGTAACTCAACCTCTCCAAGACCAAGGTCGATCAGCTCGGCCAATTACGAAAATCATCGGCCTTTTCCGGGTTAACTCTCAGGTCTAGTAGAGTCACCGTAAATCAACGCGAGTCAGTACATCACGGTTTGTCGTATAGCACGTTTTGAATGGAATTCAACTCTGTAGAGTTTAGACCACAGTACATTAGCGTCTATTAACTCGGCGATAGAAATTCAGTAAAAGAAAATCACGTTAGTTATTGACCATTCAACCAGTGACTCACAGTGCTAAAACTATAGACAATTAAATTAACTCAGTACGATCAACAAGTGACAAGCTGTTTTTGTAAATTTGACAAAGCGTGGTTTGAACTCGAGAATAAATGCACGTGGATATTAGTTCAAGACTCTCAATAATTATTTCACACCGACGATCCTCTAACCTCCCAATCCACCCTAAATCTAGTTCCTCACCAAACAAAACTTTTTTGTAGATCTTTATTTGCTCTATAAAAATGGTTTTAACAAAAATTTTGCTATTCTCCAACGTTTTCGAGATATTCAATGAAAAATATTTTGAATATTGTTAATTTTTCATTGAATATCTCGGAAACTTTGGAGAATAGCAAAATTTTTGTCAAAACCATTTTTATAGAGCAAATAAAGATCTACAAAAAAGTTTATAATGAAAATTTGACTACTAGCCACAGATTCAGAGATATTCATCAAAAATCCAGCTGAGAGCTATTGCGTTGAGCGCAGCAGGAGGTTTGAATAAGTTGCGCATGGCGCCAATCACGTGACTCATGGCACTGTCGCAGGGAGGGTAACAGCTGACGCGTTGCGCCGACTGCTCCGAAATTGCTATTATAATTTATAATAAATTAACGGTACATTTTGGGCTATAAGTTCCTAACTCCCCCCGATAGGACATTTTCTCAGCTACAAAGAAATATTTTTTTTTCCCATCTGATGAGGTTAACTAAAGATATCTAGGATTGAAGACGGCCTGTCGGCAATTCCCAATTGTTTATAACAAACTGTGAATCACCCCGGCAAATTTGAGCATATACTTTTTAAAACATTAATAATTACACTTTTAGCTATCGATTGGTGTAATTTGGTGCCCTTTGGTTAATTTCGATGTAAACGACATTTTCAGAGCTAGTTTGACTGGATTAGCAAACAATAGAAACCCCTCCGCCTCACCTCCTACATTTCCTCCTCACCCGATTATCCTTAAAACCAACGACCAATAGGAAGACATATAAAAAGTTAACAATTAAAACAATCATTGATTGTCAACCAACTTTATTTTAAAGGAAAAAATATACCATTTTCTGCAAAGTTCATGATTATAAAACATTCTTCAGGTTGAATACAATTAAAAAAGCGCAATTTTTCGATTGGAAATTGTGTTTTTAGAGTGAAAAGGGGGATTTTTCATTTTTAATGAAAAAGGACCTAAAAAATGAAAAAAAATTATCACAGGGCATGAGAACTACGTAAAGTTGGATACAAAAAACAATTATAATTCGCATTTTTGGTCAAGTTACGCGCATTTGTTTATAGCGCGGCGCCCACATGGGCGCGCGCAGACCTAAATCAAAAACCATTTCTGTTCTGTATGAAATTATCCAACTTTTATTCACTGCATGTCTTGGTAACTTCTCAATAGTTTTCGAGATATTTCAATTGAAAGTGTCCTAGTCAAGAGATATGTTTGTAATAAACAAAAAGCACCTTCTGACTTTAGGAGACATTTTTTTCCTATGCCTTCCCAAGCATTTCAAAAAAAAAATTCAAAATCGGTTCACTATTCTACAAAGCGAAAACAAACCCAATTTTTGAAGCCCCACCGACTGGACTAAAATGGTTGTGCTTACGTGGACATGGAAATTTAGGCTCTGACCCAACTTTTTTCTAGCCATATGGTCAATACTGCCACTAAATAATTGTTTGACGAAGAAAAAACTTCCAATCCAATTTCTACTCCGATGGTAAGTTCCATTACCTCATAATGGAGTGAATGCTGACATCACTCCATTTTTATTGGCACATAATAATTGTGACCGATGGCGGCTAAAAGGAATTAATTAATTCAGTGTACATCTTTGGGTGCTACCGTCGTAGTTCACACCTGCGCGCGTAGATATTCTGATTGTTAATGGTTTTTCAGTTCGGCTAAAAAATGATTTGAAGCATTGTATTTTTTATTGCAGAAAGTGTTCTTATTAATATGTCACACGTGCATCAAGTTTCGTGACATTGGCTCCATTTTTACTTTCATGATGTGCATTTTTCTACACTTGCCATAAGAGCACGGGCTAAATTGCTTGTTTTTAAAATTATTTATTTCATTTGAACCATTCTCTTTAACAATCTGAAACTTCGTACAAGGCTTCGAAATATATCGCAGAATGTACTTGAAAAATTTCATAAAATTGGCTGCATTTTTTTTTACCACGCCGGGTTCATCGCTAAGCCTATCATATGACAAATTGATGAACAAATAATTTTTTGAATAATCGCTTGAGAAATTCATCATTATTTTACGCCAGATATACCTCAGTATTCTGCCTTTTCTCTCATATGACGTAACATAAGCTCAAACTACGCATTCAGTATTGTGAAGTAATACTTTTGCTCAGACTCAGTCTGTCAATAGGTAGGTACGTACGCAAGTGCAACAAAGAGACAGCTATAACTGCATTGAAGCTCTGATATATCGGCTCAGTAGCGTTCGTAGCACTGCATTGAGTCTCCCTAAAGTGCCGCGGAGCATGCGGATGTTGATGAAAACAAATAAATTCATTGCGAATAACTCTCTTCGCCCTATTTCGTAATAATTCTCCTCCGAAAAGTTGGAATTGTGAGGATGCCCAGTAAGAAGAAAAAGTATAATGCTCGATTTCCAGCGGTGAGTTTATTATCCATTTCAAATTGATTCATTTTCTTCTCTCAATTACAGTTGAATATTTTCAGTACTTATAAAAATTATGGGAAATGTCTTATAAAACAGCGAAAATTATTACTTTGGTGTGCACAACACTCAGATGTTTGAAACTTCAAAACATTTACACTTAACCTCACTTTCATTTCTTTCTAGGGACGCATCAAGAAAATCATGCAGACAGACGAGGAAGTTGGAAAAGTGGCTCAAGCCGTTCCAATAATCATTTATATCCTTTTTTATTAATTCAACTTTAATTGCAGGTTCCACCGAAAATTGATTGAGATTTCTTGATTGTCATTTCTATGTAAATGTCCGCTATATTTATCCATCATAGTCGTTTTCTCTAGAGTTTTGCTGACTACTATGAGCCCAGCAAAATCTTCGGTTCTACTTTAGGTGTAGATAGATGTGAACAAGAATTCGCATATCAATCATTGGTGTTCTTGCACTCATGTTGTTTCATTATATTGAGAAATTAACAGCGTTCACTCCTCAATCTAAATCATGAAGTCTATTTGTCAAAACACCATTCCATTTTTTTTCCAGATATCTTACATTTCTCTAATTGTTTAAATAAATTTTTCGTTGCCTTGAGTTTAAATTCGAATTTTATGAATATAAATTTAGTCGTGAATAGATATCATAAAGATGTAACACTTAGATGTTGCGTTTCTAATTGAAAGTTGGATGTAGCAATGGAAGTGGTGTGATAAACCACTGCAGTGTATCCTTAGGCAGGTAATTTTATGTAAATCCTTAACTGCTTGATAATGCACCTCGGACATTGGAGCTATTTGTTCACTCTTTGCTGACAAAAACAATGCAGATAACGAATGCTAAAAATGCAAAAACCCTCAGTCCATCCCACATGTGAGTGAATTCATGCGTTATTCGTTCAATTCTGTATTAAAGGGGTCAAATTTGACGAATAGAATGTGACTTTTCTGCTCATTATTGAATCATATCGGCAGAAAGTGACTGAAGGAGGAATGTCATCCAATGTCTTTTGTTAAGATTTCCTTCTAGGATGACTCACTACTTCAACATTGATTTTATATCTAGGAAGTAGAATAGATTTTTTCTAAATTCCTGATTAATCTGCAGATTTTGTGGTTTTGATTTAGGAAGCAGTGCATCCTGTCTGAGAGCCGATTCGACTTTCTAAAGGACCTAGTGAAATGTTTGCCAGATGTGTCGGGAGTTGATGATGAGGTTCCCACGCCTCCTCTCACTCCGGCGCCTATAGGAATTAATCCAATGATTGGGACTGTCATGGTTCCTCGTCCACAACCTGATGCTAGGTAATTATTTATTCGAGATACTAAGGAGACTATTACACTTAGTAGATAATTACTCCTGCACTTGGAGAAAAAATGAATTCCTAAGATCAAGTTCATTATTGTTCCAATTCATTCCGTGATTGGATGCTGGAAAAGCTTAGAAATTTGGAAAGACGCTAGAGATTCTGGAAACAAGAATTAATAACTACCAAAAAATCAGTCATTGGTATAACCATTTATCAAGAATGCAACAGTTTTGTTAATTTGAAAAATTTACACGTTTTGATCGTCAATTCTTATTCAAAGGATGATCCAATCCAAGAATTTTTTTACTTCCAGAAAATCTTTGACCTTCCCCGTGTAAAATAAAACCATTTAGCCGATCTGCCGATTCCGACTGTCCCTGCCGCTTGACCTTTATGACCCTTGTGACCCATGTAATTACTCGAAAATTTTACTCAATAGTGCTGTTCTTAGTAGCGTAGGAATATTGTGCCTTGATTCAATGCATATTACCATGATGAATATTTTGGAGTCGAAAAATTCGATTCAATGTAGTAGTTCTCGATTTGATATTGAGATTTTTTTTCAATTCCTGTCCAATCGTATTTCTCAAACACTACTGATTAGACGAAGGATTAGGACGAAATTTGTTCATACAAATTATGGGCCAAAATAGGCAAATTTGCCTTGAGATTTTCCCTTGTAGCTCTCACGTCATTCTAAATAAATAGGTACGTGTCTGGTGCGGATAGCCACTCCGAAATGAAAGTTTTTATGAAAATCCTCTATTAGCTTTGTATTTTGAAACATTTTCATAGAACTGATTTTCAAGGAACTTTCAGGCAAACACAGTGAGTGTAAAAAGTAACCGTACACCTCCGATTAACGAAAATAACCTACGTTTTTTGCAATAAGGATTCAGTTTTTTATTGAATAACAAATTTTTATTGATTGTCTATACCTAAAAGTACAAAATTATGTACGGAGAAATTCTGGGACGAATTATTATTCTGGAAGGAAAATTAGAATGCTTAGCAGCCCACAACTTTAGGATATAAAAAGTATTCGTACACCGTATAGTATACGTAGTGACTACGGCATCCAGAACGATCTAGAGGTCATCCGCTCTGGAGAAATAGTTGTGCCGAGTCTCAATCCATTCCGGGACACTACGTCATCAACAGTCGTTTCGAAAAAATCCTCGTATTGTCAATTTATTTTAAAAAAATCCAAAAACAGCAGCCCCTCGAATACTAAAAGAAATTGCTAATGTCGATGGAGATAATTTATTTTGCAGTATAGTTCGAAACGTATTACTTACGTCGGGATACCACGGTAGATCTGCTCGGCGGAAATACTGGGTGAGTAAAATCAATAGGAAACAGCGATTGGAATTTGCAAAAAAATTGAAGGACAAACCAATTGAATTCTGAGATCGTGTAATTTTCTCCGATGAGTCAAAATATAATATTTATGGGTCCGGCGGAAGTTGCAGAGTGTAGAGGCAACGCAACACTGAATTTCCAAAAGAAAACTTAATTCCCACTGTTAAATATGATGGAGGCTCGGTTCGATATAAATATCCTGAAAGAAATCTTCAATCAAGCGCTGCCAAAAAATGGGCTTAAATAACATGCATGATAATGATCCCAAGTATACCGCGTGGAATACCAAGATGTGGGTACTTTACAACACCCCAAAATATCTCGAAACTCCTCCATAGTCACCGGACATTAATCCCATAGAGCACGTATGGGATTATCTCGAAGAAAAGATTCGTCATGAGCAAATTCCTAATAAACATGATTTAAAAAATGCTCTTTGTGAAGAACGGTCAAGAATAACGTTTTCTTACACTTCTAACTTAATTCATTCTATGCCACTCAGGCTTCAGGCGATTAGTAGCGCCAAGGGTGACCCAACCAAATATTAATAAGGGTGTTTTGAGTGAAATAATTGAATAAAAATATGGTTGTACGGATACTTTTTGTGCATGATTTTTTGGTCATTTTTAACGAATGATTTTTTTTCCCTTAATTCTTATTTCTATCTACAAATTTTATGAAGGAATAAATAGTTTGACGTTTGAACTTCAGTTGAGTACTTTTTTTGTAAATAAATTCCCAGGTATTGAGGAAAAGTTGCTCTTTTCTTTTTAATTTTCGGTGTACAATTACTTTTTACACTCACTGTATGCCTTTGAATGGGAAGATTAATTTTGACATTGAATGAGGAATATTCTCAAATAAAAAATGTTATAAGGATGGTCAATTGAAGGCGGCAATCACGTTCTTACAATCAATTGTTAAATTTAGCAGCAAAGCCGTAAAGCAAAGATAATGAGTCCTGTTGTCAAAGATAATTCTGCTAGCGTCGTCATTAGGTCCACGATACACGAGTTCGACCGATTAAATCCGATGATAGGACTTCGGAAGTTTTTAAGTGATCATCCGGGTGTCGTGCGTGAATCGTCTCACAAAAATCGAGAAAAAATTAAACTCACGAACATTCACAAAGTGACATTTAGCTAAATAAAGGCTAAAAACAATATACAATTAGTAACACCCAAGTTACTAACAATTCCGAAACAACTTTTCAGAAAAACGTTTGATCATAGGACTTACCGTCTGTTCTTTACGACTCGACGTTGTAGAGCCAAAGGTGCGTAAAAATTATGCTTATTACACACCTCTTTCGCCCTTTGACTCCACAAAGACAAACATTGTATTCTCCATTGATTCGCTTTCTATGGAAAATTCGCAGACGATTTTTTCATAAATAATTTTTAAAATGAACAATCTATTGCACAAATTAATTACCAACTCGGTTCAAACGTGAAATTTTCGTCAGTTACAGGGTGACAATTAGGAAGTTGCCTAAACTAATCGTTTATAACTTTGAAATGAGTGCCAGGAAAAAAAAAGAAAAATACATATGAATTGAGTAAAAATCGGATTTTTATTTGGAATTAGTTTCAGTTGAATCAGACACTTCTAATAGATACTTATTGACATTTGAAAAAAATAGACAAATTGAGCCAGGAGATAACTATTAATGGTAAATATTTTCGGAGTGACCTCCAATCGAATTTGCACAATAATCAAGCCGTTTTCGGAAACTATGAAAAACTTGTTCAATCTGAGATGGAAAAATACCAGAAATTCCGTCTCTGATGGCTTTTTTCAAATCATCTTTGGTCTCGGGTTTTTCTGCATAAACATTATCTTTCAGGAAGCCCCATATCTTCTGTTGTAACTGAGTGTGATGGGCCAGGAAGATCATGACGACGGTCCTCAAGAGTATAATACTTGATGGAATTATCAATTACTCTGGGAGAGAAAGTAATAAATACTTGAAAGTTTTAGTCAAAAGTGAGATTCTACGATGAAGTTAGATAATTTTTTTTTTATTCTCACCTTCCGAGGGTGTTTTGACTGGCTACTTTTTTACTTCCAAATTTGGTACGAAAGCCTCTATATGCTTCAGTATAGTTTTTACCTCTAGTATAAAAGCACTCGATAAGATATACTTTTTCTTCGTTTGTAAGGTTACTCATTTTGAAGTACACGTAGTGCTTCTTGTAGCGTCTCAATAGAAACTGACAACCTTCTAGTATATATCTAATGGACCTAACCTTCCGGGTCTCAGTAGGAAGCGAAGACGTGTGGGTATACTTTAGGCAACTTCCCATTTGTCACCTTGTATATGATAAAATGTGAGAAAATGACCTGTTTTCAAAGATGAGGAAATTCTCCATTGAAAACATTTCTTGATAATTCATATGCAATATGAACCATATGCATCCTCTTACGCAACCCGGATGATTTCCTGCATTTGATGTAATTCAATTCAATTTCTTTGTTCGGCCATATCCCCTTGTCTTTGAGTGGAGCGCAAGTGCCATGATTTCTCTAAAAAAAATTGTTTTGGCGTCATCTGTTCAATGTTTCAAAAAGCTCGAATTTAGAACAACATCCAATTTTCTTCTTTAACTACTGTTCCAATATTTAGGCGGCGACTCCAAATCCAGACAATTTTTCAGGTGTAGAATAACAAGATAGAGATGAACTCCCTAGATAGGACGAATGATAAGTGGATACCAAAAATATGAAACAACCTTGCATTAAATTTGTCTCATTTTTTTTACCCTTCTGAGTTCCGACTCGCAAACTATACGAAATCGCATCGATGTGATGGCCGTCAATCACAGCGCACCGCGTGATGTGTTTTAATGAGAAATGGTCATGCTGACCATGGTCATGATAAATGGGTCAAGCCCACTGAACTATTGGTATATTGAAACGGTGACGAATTTTCTAGAAAATTCCAGAATTTTCACAAATTTTCAATAAAAGCGAAGAATTTTCTAGATTTTCCTGTAAAAATGGAGAATGTTTTCGAATGATCTAGAAAACTGGAGAATTCTCTCGAGATTCTTAGAAAAATCTAGAATTTACTAAAATTCCGACAGAATGCACTGGCCGTTAGGGGTAGCTCTTAAGGTATGATGTGGGCATGTTCTTCTCGAGATCATATTAGTGCATTCTACGTACAGGCGTACTGCCGAGATTCTAGTCTTTGGGTTTCATATAACATAATGGTGAGGGAATAGGGATCGAAAGCTACAATTTCTCCAGTACGACTTTAGGGGCCATTTACACTGGGACTTCAAGTCACCTTAAGTACGACTAAGTTTATATCCAACCTGGCCCAAGGCTTGATGAAAATGTGGAGTTCAGATCAAATTTGCGTTTCCACCGACACTTGCACCGGAGTAGATATAAACTTAACTATAGTTGGTGCGACTTGAAGTCCCGGTATAAATGGCCTCGTCAACAGAGCAGATTTGAATTCCTCCTCCATAATAAAAAAAAATTACCTAGCAGAGATTTGAACTCGCGACGCCAATACAAACACAATAGGCGTGGTGGGAGATCTGGCCGCGAAAGGGGAATCTTATGCGTGCGTAAGTAAATGTAATGTAAACTTCCCCGTCCAAAACCGCCACCCCAAAACCG